GGGGGGGCCCCCCCCCTGCCACAGGCAGTGGAAGATCAGCCCAGTTTGGGGCTCAGGCATCCAAACTGGGGTGAGTGAGACATGCCACCTCTCCCAGCACTCAGGGGTACCTTGATCCAGGCGTTCATGTCCTCCTCAGACCTGGTACAAAATGGGAGATGAATGAGCTGGCATCCCTCCTCCTCGAGAGGGTTGGCAGGACTGTCGCCCTTCCCCTTACCTGGCTTGCAGCTCCAGTGTCCGCTGCTTTCCCGAGACCAGGAAGGTGTGAGGGAACTGCGTGTCGTTCAGCACCCTCACCTGAGAGAGACCAAAGAAAGGATGTGGAGCAGCTGAACCCACACCCAGCACACAGGGACCTTCCTCCATGATGTGAAGGACAGGGATTTCCCTCAGGCACAAGCCCTTCGGCCCCTCAAATCCAGTGTGCATGAGGTTGCACTGCAATTTCATAGGATCAGAGCCTCTCAACCAGGCCTCCTCACCCACAAAGCCACCCCTGGCTCCAGCTCTTCCCTCCTTTCCGAGGAGGTGTGGGCCAGCAGCCACTTTACACCCCCGAATGGGGTGCATTTTAGGGAAGCCAGGGTCTGGGGGAAGCACAAAGGCAAGGTGCCTGTCTGACCTTCATGCCATCCACATCAATGCGGAGGTGGACCTGGAACTCAGCGCCCACCTGGATGACCTTGGGCACGCAGTAGAGCAACATGTTGTTGAACTGGGGAGGGGGGGAAGAGGAGAGGGTTGGTTGGTGCCCAGCAGCTGCCTGCTCAGAGTTGGGGGCTTCCCTGTGATCTAGGATCCTTTGCCCCCCTGGGGCTGAGCTGCTCCTTGGTAAGAATCCACCCTAAAGTGACTGCTTCTGCCCCAGCCCTCTCCTACCCTGCAAAGGTGAAGCGCTCTGGGAGCGTGACATCCCCCAAGGGCTCCTGTGCCCAGGGGATGAGCAGATTCCCAACCACGTCCTATACAAGGTGCCCTGCACTGGGGGGCTCAAACCCCCCAGCTCTGAATTCATCCCCTCTGTGTAGAGATGACCCCACGACACCCCAGCCAGGCTGTGCTGCCCCTCTCCCCATTCCTATCCTATCTGCTCCCTGCCCCTTCCCTTGGGCATCCCAGCTCCCACCAGGAACAGGTACTTCTCCGATGTGCTGTTGTTGCGGGTGGAGATTTTTTGGATCGGCCCCTCCTTGATCAGCTCGTTGGAGGGATCCACAATGTCGTCCTCGAGGCCCAGCCGCTGATAGACTGCCCAGAGGTTCTGCAGCCGTTCCTGAAGGAGGCAGAGGGATCTGCTTCTGCGAGGAGCTCAGCAGCCACAACCTTGTCACCCCTTGGTCCCCTCCATCTCCACCTCCCATGCCAGCTGCTGAGTACCAGGAGAGGTAGCACAGCTCTCTAATCCCAGACTGATCTTTGAGAGGAGCTCTCAGCCTCGAAACAGCCGGCCACATCACGCTGATGTTGCAGACATGACTCCCCCAGGCTCAGGGTGACAGGAACAGGCATCAAGAGCAGGGTCTACCCTCCTCTGCT